TCCAAATTCTGCCCCTGCCCTTTCCAACCACACGGGAACGTGGTGGACAAAGCAGACATGCCAATTCAAAATAAACAGTCTGGTTATTGAGTAAGTTTGAAACCCCAATGCTATCGACGCGCGTCACAGGCAACCCACTGGAGAGACAACAACGACAGAGCCCTCACCCCTAGGAAACAGAAGTAGCCGGTTTCGCGAATGCTTTCGAGGTGAACAATATGTGGTGCTGCTGCAGCAAAAGGCTTGAGAACAAAGGCGGACTTCGTCCTAGAGTTACCAGTAACTGTAGCGCTGCTCCAATGGAGCTAATTACCTTTGTCCTGAAGACACAAAACAGTTCTCGCCTTGGAGGGAGCTAAGACCCAGCTCATTTTTGAGCCAAATAAAAGTAATCTTGATCCAGGAACAAGGACTAAAGTTGCTCTGAAAGACATGTCCCGCTGTGGATGCGGTTACATGAAACTGTATTAGTTACAGAAGAAAGGCACAAATCGTGGCATTTTCCAAGTACGTCAGCAGGAATCGGAGCAAGTCAGGAACTCGGCCATAGGTGTACTTCATATGTACAAGCCACTGAGTTCCATCTCCAGTACAATTAATAAAAAATGAATACATTTGTACTAGGGGGAAGCTCATTCATAGAAACTAAAGGGTGAATAAGAAGTTCATACTAAATTCAGTGGAGCAGCACTGGACACCACTGTGTTGGGGGCCACTATGTTCCTCTATTACTCTGGTGCAATTATGCTTTAAACCTGTCCTGAATATGCTTCCTCTTGTGTCTGTCTATCTGTCTCCCCTCTCTCGCCATCTCTTTTTTTTTTTCACTTCTCAAAAAAGTCTTTATCAATCAAGTTACATGTGTATAAATCGTACATCAGCCGTAAGTTTCTGGTTTCAGAGCTGCCCTTTTGCCTGCCCCTTCCTTCCTGTGATGTTTTCTAACTGCAGACCAAATGTTAGATGAGGGTCCCTTTACTCATTACATCACTCTAAATAATGACAAAAATAGCCCCCCAAACCAAAAAAAAAAAAAAACCCTTAAAGGACATCAGAGAACCCACCTCCCGCCCCCACACACCACTAGTCAGCAATTGCTACAGCTGCCTAGAACTTCACATTCATTTTTCTGATTCTCAGATTATCCCATTTTACAAAAAGAGTTCGGGCTTTGCTTGAATCTGGCCTTCATACTCTACACCAAACTACATCTCAGAGAGGACAGCTTTGGTGTAATCTTCCCACTGTACAACAACCAAGACCAGCAACTAGATCTGATGGGGAAAGGAACCGGAGGGTCCATCTCTTTACTTTGTTTTTGTTTTGTTTTGAGGCAGAGCCTCACTGTTTAATGCTGGTTGGTCTGGAAATCTCTTTGGAGACCTCCATGGCCTCAAACTTGCAGCAGTTCTCCTGCCTCTGCTTCCCAAGTGTCGGGATGCCAGGAGTGAAGCCCCACACTGGCTCTTGTTTAATTTTAATTGCTTGTATATTCCATAGTTCATGTAAGGGGTTCTTGAAGCACCTCTCATTCAACCAAGATCACCTAGCCCACCCAGGGCTGCTTCATTGATCCTCTCTATTGTGCTTCAATGGCTGCACACTCTCTCAGTATCTCACTCTCTGAGGAGCAAGAACACCTTTCCCTGCTTCCTTTGTATATTCCCCTCTTCTCCTCTGAACCTTCCCTGGGTACATGTTCGCTTACTCCCAAGCCTGCGTCTCTGGTGGCTAGTTTTATGTCAACTTGACACAAGCTAGAGTCACTGGAAAGGAGGGAGCCGCCATTGAGACACTGTCTATAAGATCAAGTTGTAGGCAAGCCTATAGGGCATTTTCTTAATTAGTGATCAATGGTAGAGGGCCCAGCCTACTGTGGGTGGGGCCATCCTTGGGCTGGTGGTCCTGGGTTCTATAAGAAAGCAGGCTGAACAAGCCAGTACGCACCACCCCTCCATGACCTCTGCATCAGCTCCTGCCTCCAGATTCCTGTCCTGTTTTGAGCTCCTTTCCTGCCTTCCTTCAGTGATGAACAAACAGTAAGTGTAAGCCAAATAAACCCTTTCCTTCCCCAGTTACTTCTGGTCATAGTGTTTCATCACAGCACTAGTAACCCTGACTAGGACAATCTCCATGTCACTTTTCCACCAAACTTTAGTCTCACTCCAGCAGGCTCCAAGCACTTTATTCCTTAGGCACATTTCTCCTCAGTGTCACAGTTGGGGCACAGAATATCCAGCGTCTCCAAGCTAGAGACATGTAGTCTGTCTTGTCCCTTAAAGCCAATCAGCCATAATCTTTTGGGATTTACCTCTTGCACAGGATACTAACCCACTCCTCCATGCCCATCGTACAGGAATCAGCAAGTCGGGCCTCTTCATGAGTTACTTTTCTCTAAGCCTTAGGGCCTTTACCCAAGAAAGAAACAGGCTGGCAGCAGCCACCCTGATAGGCAGGTAAGAATGCCATAGACCATAAGCCTGGATTTCTGCAGCTGTCATTGTCATGCCTCCTGACTGCACCCAAGCTTCCTCCTGACTGGTCTCACACTCCTATCAGCCTACCTGAATACATGGTGCCACCCCATGCCAGACAGCTGTGACTTGTCCTTGAGAGCCTGTCTCATGCCTCTGTAGGTATGCCCTGCTGTCCCCGGGGCCTGCCCTTGGGTGTAGCCACATTCCCAAAGTGCAGACGCCCTTCTGCCTTGCTCGCCAAGCTCTGTAGCTACTGGATTTGATGTTCTGTCTCTCCTGCCAAACTCACGTTGACTTGGGGCCAGTTTCCAGGCCTGCTCACAGGCCTCTTGAGTGGGCTTTTCTGGGACAAGATTCAGAAATTATACTTTTGCTGGGCAGTGATAGCCCAGTACTTGGGAGACAGAGGCAGGTGGATCTCTATGAGTTCCAGGTCAACCTGGTCTACAAAGCAAGTTCCAGGACAGCCAGAGCTATTACACAAAGGAACCCTGTCTTAAAAAAAAAAAAAGAAAGAAAGAAATTATAATTTTTTTATGAGCAGCCTGAGCCATTAAATGCTGGCTAAAGTTTGGAAAGTGGGACTTAACCTCTTTGAGCTGTCCAAGGACAGGTTTTGAACCCCATTTGTTGTGTACACATCACCTAACCCAGTCTCTGGCAAACAAGATGTACTTGCCAATTGCTTGTTCAGTGACTCAAGGAAGGATGATTCCTAGGAAGTGGTAAAACCAACAATGGCCTAGCCCTGGGAGGCAAGCACACCACCCAGGATCACTCCCAGCGGGTAGCTAGTCTAGTGTTTCTAGCCCTGTTCTTCAACCCTATGACCACCTGGGGGAAACCTACAGGCTTGTCCAGCAATGGTCCTACTCTTTTACTGTTTGAGATAGATTCATGCTATATAGCTCAGGCTAGTCCCACACTCCTCATCCTGCCTCAGCTTCCCAGTGCTGGAATTATAGGACTGCATAATCACAGATCTTTAATTTAAATTGTGTTTATTATAATTTGTGTGTGTGTGTATGTGTGTGGTATGTGTGATATGTGTGTTGTGTGTGTGTGTGTGTGTGTGTGTCTGATGTGTGTGTGTGTGTGTGTGATGTGTCTGATGTGCCTGTGTGTGTGTGTGTGTGAATGTGGCGTGTGTGTCTGTATGTGTGTGTGTGGCGTGTCTGTGTGTATGTGTGATGTATCTGTCTGTCTGTATGTCTGGTATATGTGTGGGGTGTGTCTGTGTGTGTGAGAGAGAGATGTGTGTGTCTGTCTCTCTGTGTGTGTGTGTGTGTGTGTGTGTGTGTGTGTGTAAGTGTGGTATATGTGTGTGTGTAGTGTGTCTGTGTGAGTGTGGTATGTGTGTGTATGTGGAGTGTCTGTGTGTATGTGTGATGTATCTGTCATCTGTCTGTGTGTGTCTTGTGTGTGTGTGTGTCTGTCTGTCTGTGTGTGTGAGTGTGTCTGATGTGTCTGTGTGTGTAAGTGTGTGAATGTGGTGTGTCTACATGTGTGTCTGATGTGTCTGTGTGTGTGTAAGTGTGTGAATGTGGTGTCTGTGTGTCTGTCTGTGTGTGGGAGATTAAACCCAGGGTATTAAGTATGTGCTCTACTGCTGAGATAATTCCCTCACCCTTTAAACATCTATTTTTGGTCCAGGCATGGTGGCACAGCCTTTAATTCTCTTTTTTAGCAGGGTTTCAATGAAACCTGGGCTAACATCAAGCTCAATAGCAGAGGTTGGTCTTGAACTCCTGATCTTCCTGCCTCCACCATGCCTAGTGATGGGATTATAGGCTTGAGCCACCATACTTCAAATATTCCTTTTCCTTCTGTCCTTCCTTCCTTCCGTCCGTCCTTCCTTCCTTCCTTCCGTCCTTCCTCTCTCCCTCCCTCCCTCCTTCTCTCCCTCTCTCTCTCCTTTCCTTTCCTTCCTTCCTTTTTAAAATAAAAGACTCGCCGGGTGGTGGTGGCGCACGCCTTTAATTCCAGCACTCGGGAGGCAGAGGCAGGTGGATCTCTGTGAGTTTCAGACCAACCTGGTCTACAAGAGCTGTGTCCAGGACACAGCCACAGAGAAACCCTGTCTCAAAAAAAACAAAAACAAAACAAAACAAAAAAAAGACTCTGTTGCTAAAAACAGTATTTGAGAGTTGCCATATCTGAGTAGGATTTGTTTGTTTAACTTTGGAAGAAAAACCAATCTCCTAGTGAAGGGACCAGCTCCCG